AGGCTCCACATGCCGACACTGATATTGCACAAGCACTTGTGCCTCAGTCTTGACCAGTGTTTAGAATCTCCACCTCACCTACTCATGTCCCAGTAGGCTCCCTGGAGCATTGCTGCCCTCACCTGAGCTGAGCTGCAAGGTCCAACACAACTTCCAAGGTTTAAGTCCCACGCTAGAAGGACTTTTTACAAAATTTTGAATTATTTTCTTCCTTCCATATCCTTTAAAAGAGAACAGAAATAGATGTAGAACATGACAGTAATACTACATACAAAGGTAAAGATCATTTAAAATTCCTGCTTATCCCCTCCAGGGTCATGCTGACTGTCCTGTTGATTGCAATGACGTAGCAGAGCTCACGCTGAATTCTACTCTATTAGGCTAATTTGGCTGAGCTGGTATCCTCATACTGATTGTGCCCCTTATGATCTCCAAATCCTTTTCAACTGTTCTTTTTCACGAGGCAGCACCATACAGATACAGCTCCTGGTTTTATAACTGGCTCTTAGCTGCACTAAAATCCATTCAATTTATCCAGTTACAACACTACAGGACTTCCCTCTTTTTCTCACTGCACACCACTCTTCACCTAGAGTACACTAGTACGTTGAGGTCTCCAAAGTACAAGCATCCAGGTGTAAAACCAAATGCTTGGAAAGGCGGGGAACAGAATTCCCTGAAGAAAGTGTCCCAGTCACCAGGAATTCCTATGACTCTTCGGGGTCTCCTCCATTACATTTCGCTTTCTACATCATACTTAACTACTAACTAGTGTGAAGAATGGGACCCAGATCTTCCTCTAGCCTAGGAAAATTTCATTCCATTTTCATTTTTCACTCTCTCACCACACAGAAAATCCACAGACTTCGTAAGAAGCTTGAAGTCAAATAACTGGATGGTTCAGATGGCATCCATTCTAGAGCTGAGAGAGACATTGAGCTAACATCATTCCAGACTGAGCAAAAACTTTTACCAACTTACATGACAAGCTGACAGGTAAGTCTTCACAGTTCCCTCAGGATCCCACTCCTTTCCTTTTCTTTTTCCTTTTCCTTTTCTTTTTCCTTTTCCTTTCCTTTCTTGTTTGGTGGTGGTATAAGAGAAAAGTGTTAGGGATATGAGATCAGACTCTACCTGTGGAGCCGAATCTTAAGGCAAAGTTTTCTAAAGTTTGGAAATTCAAATAAAAAGTTTGAACACTAGCCTAGCATACATTCTAGTTCTACACATTTAAGTTAAGTTAGACATGAAACTTTCTTTGATCTAAAAAGTCAGGTCCGTTTTAATCCCTGGGAGTTTTACAAATACTTCTGGTTTTGCCTAAGATACAAACACTGTGGGAACAGGGACACAGCTTGATTTGAATACAAACATTGGAACTGATGTGTCTTTTCTCCAAAGTATGCCCAGAGCCTCCCTAAGCAAAGCTTCTTTCAAGCATTATACAATAGCTGGATATAGATAATAGTATGCTGAGAAAAGATCTGAAAGAGAACAAAAACAACTCAGCGCTTATTGAGAGCTGTAAAGTATGGCAAATATTTTACTACCTACCCATGTAATCATCTCACACCAGTGAGATAATCTTCTGGTGTTAAACAGAACTGTACTTGCTTCATCTGTAAGTATTAACAGATGGAGCCACTCTTCAGGCTTTATGTAACAGTAATTAAACAAATCCTCACAATGGCCACATGATTTCATGCACAAGCCAGGGCAGTCTACCAAAAAAAAAAAAAAAGCTATGCTGCTGGGTTGGAAAATTTTCAGGTCATGTAGTCCAGGGTGCATCATGAGCTGTCAGCCTGGTGCCTTGGATCAGCCTGCTTCATCCTCCAGGACACCCTCTTCACTGCACACTGGGACCCAGAGCAGAACATCCAGAAACAAAGCAGCTGCAGCAGGAACCTTCATCCTCTGCAGGAAGAAGTTCTTGTACTACTTCATTTGTAAGATGAGAGACAGTTATCCAGGCACACTGCTATGCTACAAGTCAGTCTGAGTGAAGATAATATGGGAAAGTTCGTAGCATTTGGTAAGTAGGAGAGTTTAGTGTCCCCACAGAGAGCCCCTGGTACAAGCAGGTAAGCTCTTTCCTGTCACCTCCTTCTCAACTATGAGCACCAGCAGCTCTCTTGTGGACTAGGACTTGAGCCTGGAGGTGGGTGTGTGAAATGCAAGAATCATTGTTGCTATAGGCAGGAAAAGGAATCTCCCCAGAAGGTAACACCCACCCAGCTACCCAGATGTGAATCTCTCCTGGTCTGAAAGGGCAAGAAATAGCAGAATAAGCAAGGCACTG